GCACCACATCGCGGTCGCGTGCCAGAATCTCTCGATGGCGCTCGTCCAGAAGGCTGTGGCGGAGTGTCATGATAGTATTTATATGCTCTTTAATATGGTGGTAAAAATGTCCGATCAGAATTTAATAAAGTGTAACTTATAGCGCCTCGAAAGTCAATGAAGAAAAGTGACTTTTTTGGCCCCCCCCCTGTATATTGGTACCTTTTACTAATAGTACGGATCTGTTGCTAACAATAAGTAAGAACTTTTTTCTGGAGTTGTTTGATTGTTGCTGGACTTACAGTAGCACCAGACCCTGTTAATACAGTTGGGTTGAAGGAGGGGGAGGAGAAACCACTGCCAGTTCTTTGTGTACCTTTCTCCAATGAAAATTGAGGATTAATAAAGACTTGTCTTCTCTACGGGACCACTTTTCGGCGTCCCTCGTTGTCTCCGCTTCAAGTACGAGCCTTTTCGGGAAGGGATACAGAGGCGTGGCCAGGAGGTCCCCCACCCCAACTACGTTAGCGTCTTGATCGGAACATTCTTCTAGTTGGAAAGAGCTGCCTGTAAAGGTTGTTGAAATACTCCACAGACGTGAATTTTTTAGTTACATGAGTTCAACGAGTGCGAATTTTCCGTGTCGGTCGGAGATGTAATATGGTACTTGAGAGCGGAAAACCCTCATTCGCGCACCTTCTGGATTAAGGCTCTCTCAAAAGATTCTGTAAGTTTGATTATCACTTGTTGGTTACTTCACGTGGATGTGTAACTAGTACTATGTGCTACTGCCGTGCGGTGCTCATAAATATTCACGTGTGGAGTGCGCCACCGTTCTGAAACAGAAGCGAGGACTGATCGGGAACTTTTAGCTGGGGCGTAACTTTTCATTGACGGTTTGGTGGCAGCCCTAGGGAAAAGGGTCCTAAATCGGTGGGAAAAGTGATGTGGGATCCAGAAAGATAATCTGCAAATCGAGCAGTTTTCCAAGGGATAGGAATTTTTTTGGGACGACGATCTGATATTGTGATGACTAATGTTTTGTTTCAGTGTGACTCAGACTATAGCAGCAATACTACGAAGACTCATTCGAGGAACACGTCTATCTCGTCACTTACATTAGGAAACAAATCAGAGGTAAGGAAAACTCTTCTCAAAAAGGCACTTGCGCCTTTCCTTGATCACTTCTGCGATGATGTGACGGGTCAGGTCAATCCAGATAACGCATTACAGCCAGCCGCTTGCGCAGCTGTGGCATCCAGATATCCATCTGACTAGCATAGTAGGTCCTCCGTACGCATTTGAAAGAATTATCCCTGTTTTACAGGATCAAAACAACATGGTATCACGTATTGCTGAATTGGAGGCTTATCGGACGATGTATCGTGAGCAGATGTCATCGATTCGTCGAGAACTGCAGCAAATTGGTGTTCCACAAGCAAAAATTCTATCTATAAATGCAACTCATGTTGCTATGCTTGATAACATCAATCACATCATTCAACTTGCTAAAAATGAGGTAAATTGATGCTCTGGAATGTTGATAAGATTTTGTAATGGCTACAACTCATCATTTTTCGGAGGTTGCTGTCTAGAACTTTAGCTGAAAACGAATCTGCATATGTGACCCTTGAGAGCTAAATGACTGATTTGGTCGTATAACTATAGCCTCGGTGATAGCACGATTCTCTTCTCCCACAAGCCATTTTAATCGCCTCTTGGGTATAGTCGCCCTTTGCCCTGACCTGCATTCGCGGAAAAAAAACTTGGAACGAGCACTTAAAGGCCTTTTCATCTGTTCATCTTCTTATACACCAGTAGCAGGGTCAGAAGCCCAGAATTTAATGTTATAATACAACAATATTAAAATTTTGGTTAAGCGGTAGTGGCGCCTCTTACCACAAGCCTGGTGTGGAGCCTCCCACCTGGAGCAACCGAGTTTTTCGTGCCTGCGGGGAGAGCTAATTAGTTGTAGTCTCATCTGAGGAGATAAAAAAGTCGACTCTTACACTGGCAGCCCTCACCCCACCCGCAGGTCCCTCCCCCTTCCTCAAAGTGCCTCATCGCCGTAATCTTCAAAATTCTGTCCCTGCAACGAAAACAATCAACCAACTTTCTTCTTTAGAGTAGCTTTTTTAGGAGTACTTGATTTGAGCAAACAACGTTATTCATGTACAGTTTAAAATTTTTAGGTGAAGCTATTAAAAAGCGCGCGACTTAGGCTTTTCCAAGTTTTTTTTTGCGAATGTATATTGCAAAAAACTGAGGTCACCGCAATGGTGGACCTTTTTTTGTACAAAGAATCGGTTCACCACCTCCCCCACCAGCTTCTCCTCCTAGGCATTAGACAAGAATCCTCACATATCCAGTTTTCACGACGAGTCCTTTTGATGTTCGTTTCTCAGAGAATTTGCGCCCTCTTATCACAGAATCTTTTTTTGCATAAAATCTAATTAGTCTCTTTTTGAAATACCCTATGCATTATCTTTCATTCAGAGTCGTAGTGGCTTACTGATTGCTAAATGGCCTGTACAATGACTCTTGGGGGCCAGCCAATGTACGTAGGGTTTTTGTTCTTTCAGACTTGTGGGAGCCGATTTTGGATTTGCCCCCGAACACGCGCGCGCGTGGTAAGGCAGACCATTCATCACTACACCACCACCTCCACCACCTCTTGCATGAAAAATATGCGTATTGTCTCCCTTTCTCCCTTCCATACCAAGCGAATAAGCATTGATTTCAATTGTGGGAGAACCTTCCTTTAATTTTTGGAGGTAGCTTCAAAAAACTTCCGTTTCAAACTGTTTGAGTAGGCTGTGACTGTTTAGCGTAGACCTACTGCCTCGCATAATGGTTGGATGCCGAATACACCGGTCACGCCATGTGCTCCATCTCCACCTCCATATGTAAAGGATGTCGAGCCTCCTTCTCGTGAAACGACTATATGCCAGGATACAGCCCCTCAATCACTCAATGATGTGGTGAGTGAAACTTTCTTATTGACTTATCTTCAAAGGTTTTCTGTGATGCAAAAATTGAACTCATCTTTAACTCACTATGGAGAGGAGCAGTCTGATCTTCAATGAATTTCTAGCGCTAACCATAGGGCTAAAGAGCAGTTATAAGTTCAGAATCTGTAAAAAACAGGTTCAAAAAATCTGGTAATTATGATGTGAATTCCTACAGATGTCTATCAAGGCTGAGTTAAAGATTCAACGGGAGCCTGGAAGTGACAAGATGAGCCAGTTGGTCGTGTGGATTAGACGAAGCGATTATCTTTTTTCCATTAGTTTCAATGTTCTCTCGGTTCCCTTCTTAGGTATTTACAACAGTAACTTTTGCGCCAGGTGGAGCTCTGAACAAACCTCGATATTATAGTGTAGGTCTTCTTTGCTAAACTCTCGCGAAGTTGACAAACCATTTTATTGGCCATCACACATTTTGAGTTACTTTTTTATTTTCTTACTAGTTTTCCAAGATTTTTTTTGTACATTAATTCTTAGGGAGATGAAAATTTAAGTCAGCGACACTGCGCTTGTATTTTTTTCTGGTCTTTTTTTACACCCGAAAACCTTTCATCAGTTAGGGGGCGTTGTGATCGATTTCTACTTTTTTTCTTTGGCGCGCATTCAATAAAGGTAGTGTGAGATAGAATCTCATCATTTCAAGCGCTGGTGTCAATTGAAAGGGTCGACAGCGTTCCCGTTATACAACGAGTTGTTCGTATTTATGGATTTGCCATTATGAATAGTTCAAGTTTGTGTTCAATTTTGGAATTATTGCAAAGTTTTTCTGGTTTTCAAATTGTTGTTTGAAAGCATCGGCTCTAACGGGCCTGGGGGATTCTTGAAGAGGGTTGTTCCTTATTCAGCCGCCCTACCCTGGAATTGAAATTGAAGCGTCTCAGGGTACTTGTCAACCGTGGAGTCTCCCTTCTCTTTCCTTTTTCTCCCTCCTTCCTTCTTTCCTTTCTTCCCTCTCTTTCGAGCGGGGGCTGTTCCTTATTCAGCCGCCCTACCTGGAACTTTTTGATTTTATTGATTGAGCTTTTTATGTCCCGCTTTGGAGATATGTGCTCTTTTAACGCGGTTGCCCACCTCGTTACGATCCAGTGAAATCGAAAATGAAGCGATGTATTGATTGGCTATCTGGTGATATCGAACACGTCAATTCTAGACAAGCGATTGTGGCGATGAGTGGCATGATGCAGACGAACATTCATCACTTTCACTTGATAGTGCTGAAGAGGCAATAGAACGGCGAACACCACCCGGTGTTGGAGCGGTCGTAGAAGTGGCCGCTGCTCCGCAGGCAATGAATGAAGTCGAGCAGAAGAAACCCGCACGAGTGAGTAGCTTTGTCTCATGAAATCCACAAAAGTGCTGAAAATCCATTCAAAATTTCAGACATTGCTATTTGGAGATTATGACAATATACTGATTCCTAAAACTCATGTGTATTATGACTTAGTGGACCATTTAGCTAAAGAGCAGCTCAGGTTAGTTTGCTCATTGACCGGGAAATGCTGCAGTCGGTACGGCAGGTAGTTCAGGTATGCCTTAGCCGGTGTTGAAGATAACGTGTGGACCCTTTTCGCTGAAGATGGTGCTATGAAAATGTATACCCGTGAAGAAACAGTCGATGGTGGATTGCCGATAGATCCCCTCAAAGCTGTTCATCAAGTGCAGGTTGGTCAATGGAAGAATACTGATCCTGGCGTTTATCATGCTGATCATTTTCCAGGGAGTTTCTGCTCTTGAATTCATGCACTACTTCTTCGACGATAAGTACAAAATGGATTGGGACCACACTCTCAATGGCATGCAAGTGGTAGAAAGAATTAGTCGTGATACACTGGTCATTCATCAAAAGCACAAAACAGTAAGGATAATGTTATCACTGGTTTATTGTTTTCATCCTTCGTGTTTGTTTACGCACAGTTTTCAACTGCGTTATGGGCAAGTCCGCAATTACCTGATGTCCAGGAGCCCTTGCTTGCAAAAGGAGCATCTCAGGATACTTGTCAACCCTTCTCTTTCCCAACAGAGAGAGGAGTACAATGGTAGTAGGAATATAAGTCATGTGCGCAAAGTGGCAAAAGTGACATGGAAATCCAGAAGGCAAGAGTTGAAAAAAGTTAAATTGAACGCGCGAACAAAAGGCGTGCTGTCGGGGGAGGGGGCTTGGCGGTGATGTGTTAAGTACGCATTCTGCTCTGAATTAATTGCCCGGTCAATATAATATGGTTGTATGTTGATTTAGAAAAAGGTGGTTTTGGTTAAAAATTGTGAAATTTGAAGTGAAATGATATATTTGCCGGTAACTTGAATATTCAACTGCAAGGGATAGACGATTTCAGTTCCTCTTTATGTCTTGTTTGTATTGGGCAGGATATTCGTCAGGAGTGCTGCTCTCTTCGGGTACCCTATTGAAATGGACTAATTACATAAATGGATGGAAAGAAAGATTTTTCGAGATAAAACATGGTCAGCTGATGTATTATGCTAGCAAAGCCGATCAAGGGTGTGGATGTCGTGGCAGCATTTCTCTGAAGAAGCTTGAGATTACGGTGAGTGCTCGTTCATTGGATATTTCGCAGTATCAGTTTCAATAACAGCCCATTTCTATCCAGTAAGCTTTGGTTTTTTGTCCCTCAGCTGCTTATTTAGTTGTTTATTTATTTATGTCTTCAGTTTGTTTGCCAGAACAGAGACGAGAGGCTAAAGAAAACCATAAACATTGCGATCAGTCAAGAGGAAGCATAGACAGAGTTATGGGCAAAATTCAGGCCCAGACGGGACATAATCAGGCATCTTTCAACTGACCAGCGGACGAGCTATCGCATGACGTTGCCGAAGGCGCGCTATACTTCTCAGCTTGCACGTCCGAGCAGTTGGGGATTTCATTATGGATCCCGTCCTTTGGAAACACTTTTGGCTCCATTAGCTCAGCCTCCTGTAATTAACTTCGGAGGCACGACAGCGCATTAAACAGCAGTTATCATACCGAACAAAGTAAGAGCGATTTTTTTAGGGAAATCTTCGCTTTTTCACCCTTTTCTGCTCACCCTTCCATATTCGAACCACATTTCGATTTAAATATTTCACTTGCCGTATAATTGGTTAGAGCCTCGTTTTTCCGAGGGTTTTGATCTACTCCCCGCCCCGATCATCATACGCACGCCGCTTTGAAGCAAAAACATGTGCGATGCCACTTGGCATAGGTACAGCTGTTCCGGTATTAAACGAAATGAACTCCGTCCTTTTAGTGCATTTTATTTATTTTGGCTTTTTGCTATTCATTGATAAAATTCCCGCTAGCATTTTCTCGACTCCCCACCGCCAACTTGAAGAGGAATCACCATCGCTGAATTCGGTGCCCATATCCCGTGACTGTACAGCTTTCTGCTCCGAACTGACTATTAGCGCGTACAGGGGAGGGGGTAAAAAAAGTCACTTCGACCGAGTCACATATCAGCAAAGTTTTCGCTGCTCCAGACAGAGGACGTGGATACGAGTACCAGGGTGGAAGGTACCCAAGATGTTCTCTATAAGCTGGAACTGGCTCTCTCCCATCCCCTTCATGTACACCAAAATATGAAGTCATCTACCAGTCGCAGCCAGGATTGGAGAAGATCTTTGGAATTCATGTCACCTCCAAACAGCTGCGAAACTCTTAAGTGATGTACCCATAATAGCTACCTGGAGAGCAGTACTCTCGATCTGGAAGACCTCCATCATCGAGCAGCTCCGTCAACGTCGCTACGGTCTAGGACATCATCTTCAGCAGTCGCCAAGGCGCGGGTGATGGTATGGACTGACATGACTGGAAATGGAGAAAGACCAATCTTTTCGTGTATGGGCCTAGAGTGGTGGCTGGAGGTTACATGTGAGCAAGGTGGGTGAGAGAATAGGTGCCTCCTCGGACTGGGGTGTCGGGTGCGGCGGGGGCGTAGGTCTTGGAGAGTGTGTAGCTCGGGTGGAGCAGGCGAGTGTGAGTGGCCGACGCGGGGGGGCGGAATCATGAAATCGAAGGGCGTTGGAAGAAAACTCGCGCTACTTGGAATGGGATTGGGGCCGAGTACGCTAAAAGAAGATCGGAATAATTCGCAAGTGGCACCATGAGGCTGAAATCCCTCAGTCTCCCGGTTCGGTGCGGAGTTCAATAGGGTGGTCTAGATGGGCAGAGATAATCCGACCTATCTTGCTGACTCAGGACCATCGCGGTCGCGTGCCAGAATCTCTCGATGGCGCTCGTCCAGAAGGCTGTGGCGGAGTGTCGTGATAGTATTTGATATGCTCTTCAATATGGTGGTAAAAATGTCCGATCAGAATTTAATAAAGTGTAACTTATACCTCGAAAGTCAATGAAGAAGAGTGACTTTTTTGGCCCTCCCCCCTTATATGTACCTTCACTACTAGTACGGATCTGTTAGCTAAGCATAAGTAAGATTTTTCTGGAGTCTGTCCGTGATTGTCTGGAACTTACAGTAAGCACCAGACCCTGTTAATACAGTTGGGTGTGAAGGAGGAGCGAGGAGAAAACCAGTTGCTCAGTTTCTTTGTCAGTCCTTTCTCTCAATGGATAAAATTGAGGATTAATTAAAAGACTTGTCGTTCTCTACGGGGTCACCTTTTCGGGAAAACCGTACCCTCGTTGTCTCCGCTTCAAGTACGTAGCCCTTTCAAGATGGGAAGGCACAGAGGCGTGGCCAGGAGGTCCCCCCACCCACAACTTACGGACTTACGTCTTGATCGGAACATTCTTCTAGATTGGGAAAGAGCTGCCCTGTAAAGGTTTGTTGGATACTCACACAGACGTTGAATTCTCTTTCAGTTACAATGAGTTCAACGAGTCACGACCCAATTTTCGTGTCTAGGTCGGAATTGTAATATAGGTACACTCTGAGGCGCGAAACCCTCATTCGCGCACCTTTCTGATTCAAGGCTCTCTCAAAAGTTCTGTATTTGATTATCACTGTTGTTGGTTATTCACGGTTATGATGTAACTAGTATATGATGCTACCTGCCAGTCGCGTGCCATAAATATTCACGTTGTGGCAGTGCCGCCACCGTTTGAAACAGAAGCGAGTTGATCCGGGAACTTTTAGCTCGGGGCGGTAACTTTTTCACTGACGGTTTGGTGCAGCCTTAGGGAAAGGGGTCCCAAACGGTGGGAAAAGTGATGTGGGATCCAGAAAGATAATCTGCAAATCGAGCAGTTTTCCAAGGGATAGGAATTTTTTTTGGGACGACGATCTGATATTGTGATGACTAATGTTTTGTTCGCGTGTGCACTTCAGACGTAATAGCAGGCAATACTAAGAAGACTCATTTCGAGGAACACGTCTATCTCGTCACTTACATTAGGAAACAAATCAGAGGTAAGGAAAACTCTTCTCAAAAAGGCACTTGCGCCTTTCCTTGATCACTTCTGCGATGATGTGACGGGTCAGGTCAATCCAGATAACGCATTACAGCCAGCCGCTGCTCGCAACTGGTGGCATTCCAGATATCCATTGCACTAGCATAGATAGGTCTCCGTACGCATTGAAAGAAATTTTATCCCCTGTGTTTGATAGGATCATAAAAACATGTATCACCGTATTGCTGGAATTCGCTTGGAGGCTTATCGGACGATGTATCGTGAGCAGATGTCATCGATTCGTCGAGAACTACAGCAAATTGGTGTTCCACAAGCAAAAATTCTATCTATAAATGCAACTCATGTTGCTATGCTTGATAATATCAATCACATCATTCAGCTTGCTAAAAATGAGGTAATTATTGATGCTCTGTAATGTTGATAAGATTTTATAGTGGCTACAATCTATTATTTTTTCGGAGGTTGCTGTCTAGATCTTCAGCTGAAAACGAAACTGCATATGTCACCCTTGAGAGCTAAATGACTGATTTGGCCGGTATAACTATAGCCTCGGTGATAGCACGATTTCTCGCCTCCACAAGCGCATATTTAATCGAGGCCCTCTTTTACGGGTTTATTAAAATTAAGGGTCGCCGCTTTGCCCTGACCTGCGATTCGCGAAAAAAAAAAAACTTGGAACGAGCACTTAAAGGCCTTTTCATCTGTTCATCTTCTTATACACCAGTAGCAGGGTCAGAAGCCCAGAATTTAATGTTATAATACAACAATAAAATTTCTGTTTAAGCAGTAGTGGCGCCTCTTACCACAAACGCCTGGTGTGGAGCCTCCCCTGGTAGCAACCGAGTTTTTCGTGCCTGGGGGAGAGTAATTAGTTGTGGTTTCATCTGAGGAGATAAAAAAGTCGACTGTTACACTGGCAGCCCTCACCCCACCCGCAGGTCCCTCCCCCTTCCTCAAAGTGCCTCATCGGCGTAATCTTCAGCATTCTGACCCTGCAACGAATACAAACAACCAACTTTCTTCTTTAGAGTAGCTTTTTTAGGAGTACTTGATTTGAGCAAACATCGTTATCATAATGTACATTTTAAATTTTTTAGGTGAGCTACTTAAAAAGCCGCAAGACTTACGGCTTGTTCGTTGTTTTTTTTGCGAATGTATTTGGCACAAAACTGAGGTAACCGCAATGCGCTGGACCTTTTTGTCCAAGATCGGTTCACCACCTCTCCGCCACCAGCTTCTCCTCCTAGGCATTAGACAAGAATCCTCACATATCCAGTTTTCACGACGAGTCCTTTTGATGTTCGTTTCTCAGAGAATTTGCGCCCTCTTATCACAGAATCTTTTTTTGCATAAAATCTAATTAGTCTCTTTTTGAAATACCCTATGCATTATCTTTCATTCAGAGTCGTAGTGGCTTACTGATTGCTAAATGGCCTGTACAATGACTCTTGGGGGCCAGCCAATGTACGTAGGGTTTTTGTTCTTTCAGACTTGTGGGAGCCGATTTTGGATTTGCCCCCGAACACGCGCGCGCGTGGTAAGGCAGACCATTCATCACTACACCACCACCTCCACCACCTCTTGCATGAAAAATATGCGTATTGTCTCCCTTTCTCCCTTCCATACCAAGCGAATAAGCATTGATTTCAATTGTGGGAGAACCTTCCTTTAATTTTTGGAGGTAGCTTCAAAAAACTTCCGTTTCAAACTGTTTGAGTAGGCTGTGACTGTTTAGCGTAGACCTACTGCCTCGCATAATGGTTGGATGCCGAATACACCGGTCACGCCATGTGCTCCATCTCCACCTCCATATGTAAAGGATGTCGAGCCTCCTTCTCGTGAAACGACTATATGCCAGGATACAGCCCCTCAATCACTCAATGATGTGGTGAGTGAAACTTTCTTATTGACTTATCTTCAAAGGTTTTCTGTGATGCAAAAATTGAACTCATCTTTAACTCACTATGGAGAGGAGCAGTCTGATCTTCAATGAATTTCTAGCGCTAACCATAGGGCTAAAGAGCAGTTATAAGTTCAGAATCTGTAAAAAACAGGTTCAAAAAATCTGGTAATTATGATGTGAATTCCTACAGATGTCTATCAAGGCTGAGTTAAAGATTCAACGGGAGCCTGGAAGTGACAAGATGAGCCAGTTGGTCGTGTGGATTAGACGAAGCGATTATCTTTTTTCCATTAGTTTCAATGTTCTCTCGGTTCCCTTCTTAGGTATTTACAACAGTAACTTTTGCGCCAGGTGGAGCTCTGAACAAACCTCGATATTATAGTGTAGGTCTTCTTTGCTAAACTCTCGCGAAGTTGACAAACCATTTTATTGGCCATCACACATTTTGAGTTACTTTTTTATTTTCTTACTAGTTTTCCAAGATTTTTTTTGTACATTAATTCTTAGGGAGATGAAAATTTAAGTCAGCGACACTGCGCTTGTATTTTTTTCTGGTCTTTTTTTACACCCGAAAACCTTTCATCAGTTAGGGGGCGTTGTGATCGATTTCTACTTTTTTTCTTTGGCGCGCATTCAATAAAGGTAGTGTGAGATAGAATCTCATCATTTCAAGCGCTGGTGTCAATTGAAAGGGTCGACAGCGTTCCCGTTATACAACGAGTTGTTCGTATTTATGGATTTGCCATTATGAATAGTTCAAGTTTGTGTTCAATTTTGGAATTATTGCAAAGTTTTTCTGGTTTTCAAATTGTTGTTTGAAAGCATCGGCTCTAACGGGCCTGGGGGATTCTTGAAGAGGGTTGTTCCTTATTCAGCCGCCCTACCCTGGAATTGAAATTGAAGCGTCTCAGGGTACTTGTCAACCGTGGAGTCTCCCTTCTCTTTCCTTTTTCTCTCCTCCTTCTTCTTTCCTTTCTTCCCTCTCTTTCGAGCAGGGCTGTTCCTTATTCAGCCGCCCTACCTGGAACTTTTTGATGAGTTTATAGCTTTTTATGTCCCGCTTTGGAGATATGTGCTCTTTTAACGCGGTTGCCCACCTCGTTACGATCCAGTGAAATCGAAAATGAAGCGATGTATTGATTGGCTATCTGGTGATATCGAACACGTCAATTCTAGACAAGCGATTGTGGCGATGAGTGGCATGATGCAGACGAACATTCATCACTTTCACTTGATAGTGCTGAAGAGGCAATAGAACGGCGAACACCACCCGGTGTTGGAGCGGTCGTAGAAGTGGCCGCTGCTCCGCAGGCAATGAATGAAGTCGAGCAGAAGAAACCCGCACGAGTGAGTAGCTTTGTCTCATGAAATCCACAAAAGTGCTGAAAATCCATTCAAAATTTCAGACATTGCTATTTGGAGATTATG